CCTAATTTTCCAATCATCATCGTCATCTTGCCTTGCTAACTTTTGATTAGATTACGATCGTCATCGCCATCATCATTTATWAAGCCATGATGGCGGCTATTATTTTACAACSTGTTCTTTTTTGATTGGTTCTTTGCTATACTCGGCTGCTGTGATTATCATTTCCAATGGTAACCACTACATCTTTGTAACGCGGAAGAGGAAAGTTATCTTCAACGTGATACAATGTCGGTGGGACTACTGTATACCGGCATGCCTCCTGATACGAGGGAGGCTCGTCTGCAAGGTTCCTCACAGACGGTTTATTGTCTAGTTGATTTTGAAGGTTTGATGTTTCGAGTGTTGACTGTTGTTGATTTGCATTGCATTTTCTGGCGATTCGGCAGTAACAAAATGCCAGCAAAACAGGAACCACGAATAAAAGTAGAATAAAGTAGAAATCTTTCATGATATCTGTACTGCAGGTCTAAAATGCATATCACTCCGAGGTTGAGATCTGTGGTTTCAGCTTGTTCATATCTTCATGTTGATATCCTTTCTAGTTTGAGCGTCAATATCTTTGAATAAAAACTCCATTGAAATCTTTCACCGAAAGTGTATCAAGACTTGCGATTATGAAGGCGCTTAATTTTTACAAGAGAACAGCAGAAAATCTTCGCTTAATCGACCCCCTAGGTTGTTCTTTAGTGAGGACCAGTGCTGGGAATGAATATTCTAATTTGCAGAACTGACTGTTAACATAAACATTTGAAGAAAGCCGAAATGCATACAAAATTTTGAGATGAGTGTTTTTTTTTTGTAGATGTTATTTTTTTCGATGATTAATACTTGAAAGACGGCAATTTGCATTGACGCAATTACTTAGTGCGCATGCGTAATAAACACGTCTGGTTTAGATAATAATCATATTAGAGTATTCATGTTTCTATCTCGGTAAACATAAGCCGACTCGGTTACTCGTATCAATTACTATTCCAATTTGAATATTAACGATTTAAGCTAAGTTTGCCTCATAATTTTGCTAAGAAATGTTATAATTCCATATTATTTCGTACGACAGAGAAAAATGCAATATATTTGCGTGTCGGTTTTTTTTCGTTATCTTTCCACTTCTTTTTCAAATGTGTTTTTCCTTTCTTCTTTCCTTAAACATTTTAAAGAGATAATGTTTCATTTAGACGAAGCCCATTCACTAAATCATTTGACAGCATTTGTGATATCTAATTTGGACTTAAAAGCGAATTCAATGTCTTGCGAATATAGAAATAATTCAAGAAAGGTCTTAAAAGCGCATTCTCATTAGGTAGCGATCTACAGGAGGTAGAATAAATAACGCTTGCTGGCATTGTATTATGGAGAATATTAGAACGTTTAACCTTTGATTAGAAACTTTTATTCTGTAATAGTAAAGAAATACCGAAAACGATTTTTCAAAAGATTCCAAAGAGAAATTTTTCAATAATCATACATGGAGAATGTTTTGATAACCATGCCATGATTATGATCTGTTCGACTATAGCATTTTTATTACCACTTTGACGTAACAGACGGTTTATGACATCTATACCCTGTGGACCTGAGGTCGTCCATTATCCACAGATCCCTTGGAGAAAGGGGGGTTTACTTCCTTATCGATGTTGATATGATATGATCCATACAAAAGTTCTCATGCTCTCTGGCATTTGTAGTCGAATTCTTTTTCCCTTCTCTTTAGTTTTGAACTGGTTCTTTAGGGTTGATATGCCTAGTACATGTATGCTTTATTTGGGTCTCGTGGTTATAAATTGTCCTAAAATGCAGTAGACTGGACTTTCCTTGCTTCTATCCCAAGACTGTCAGCTAAACATAAACAAGTGCTGACATCATCCCGAAGATAATATCTTTTTAATATTCATCCTAAGGTAATTGGTCCAAGGTTGCCAGAGAGCTCGCTCCCAGGACAGACAACCAATGCTGGAGGCGATGGCATGTACTGAGAAGAAACGAGGTACGTGTGTGTGACGTCATTACACGGTATTTCATACGACTTGAGTATGAGTCGTAGTCGTAAGGTGCTTTCCATTTGTCAGAACTGGCTGGCCAGACCCAGAGAAAATGTCATTATATATCATTCCTATTTAGTCGAGAAATTCAAATTTTCAAATTATATCCATTATTCTATAGAAAACCTCGAAATGACTGAAAAATGTTGACAAAAAGCATTAAATACCTTTAGATAGAGCGGACTGGCCGGCCAGTTCTACCTAAATTGAAAGCACCCGTAGTTTGAAACGTAAAGCAGTGCCATTATAAAGATTTCATTTTTTTTTTTCAGTCAATCAATTATCGCATTAATACTGTCCGGAAGAAGAGAGAAATGGTTTCTAACTTTGTTGGACGAAGAAAAGAAAGACCGACCCTGACACCCATGGTACTTCATGAAATGCTTCCTTGTTCCCCTCCCTCCCCTCCCCATTCATCAGTAAACACAAAATGCCCTAGCCTTGGTACATCCGTTCCCACCCCTCCCCCCTTCGGGGAAAATTCCTCCCCGAATTTTCCCCTCAATGGGGGAGGGGTGAGAACGGATGTACAAAGGCTAGAAATACCCGAATCTTTGTACGCTTAGTTTGGATACAATCATGAATAAGACGCATTATAAAAATTCAATTTCGATTCTTTTCATTTCGAATCATGGATCACAATCTTGAGATTTAATTCCAACATAACAAAGCATGTTTTCTGATTTTCAGGATTTGGATATTCAAGATCTTCCTGTCATTGTAAGTGATGATAGGTTGGACAAATATAACAATAGACCTTTTCTGAAATACAAAAGCATGGTGCATCGTTGTCTAGCTTCGGTACAAACAACGCCATATTTGGCAGCATGAACAAAAGATGTTTGTACCGAATCTAGACCACAATGCAATGCAAACTGCTATCTCAAAAAAAGTCTATTGAGTTGATAGATTAGCTAATCTTGAGAAGTTATCCTTCAGCAGCAATGATGTTAGAAGGACAGCTGTAATAATATAGCAAATGCGGCCAAATACTGCTGTCAGGACTCTGTCCTGACGATGCTGTAGAACAGCGAAAGCGAGACTTCATCTAAAGTTTAGTATTTACCATCTAACAGTGGTATCTAGCCGCATTTGCCATATTAATAGATAAGCCTTGAAAGATGCATAAGTGTAAACAAGTGAATAATGGCGAACTAGCTGTTTCAATGAATGAAGAACAAGATCAAGATATATATGTTATTTACCGGCTATAGATCGGTCCGTATAGGAAACACTGCCCTCGGTCTTTCAAGAAAAAAAGTAAACCGTCTTTCTTCACTTTTCCTTGTAATTTACCGTCCAAGCATTTTTTTCCCATTTTAGATCCGAGATGAAAGAAAGAAAATAGTAAGTCAACCTAGTGTAAAATCTACCAATACTACACCAGTTTTCAAGTTAAAACCCAAGAATGTCCTAAAGCCTGCAAAACCTGACACTAAGAAAACTCCAAAGCAAAAAATTGTTGTTAAGCCGCCAAAAGAGCCGTACGTTCCATGGAGCGACCACTCCTATGCAGCAGCGTTGCCTAAAAATGTCCAAAAGGTGAAAGACGTGGAAAAAACTGTAAATGAATCGAATCATGGGGAATCGAATGAGATAAAATCTGAAGTGCTGGTGCTTTCTAGTGACGACGACTGGGATGATAGCGAAGTCCTAATTGACGAAAGTATTCTTGGTACCAGATCAAGTGCCAGGAAAACGAAGAAAAGTGTCAGTTATGTCGAGAAAGACGAAAAGGACATCTCAAGTGACGAAGTTACTAGTGACGAAGATGACGTCACAGCTGTTAAAGATGACGTCACTGTTAAAGTTAATAAGAATGACGTGACTGTTAAAGATGATATCTCTATTAAAGAGGATGTAACTACTGTTGATAAAGATCAAATTGAGGATGATGATAAAGCTGATAAGGTTGAGAAAGATCGCAACAACGTTGCAGCTGATGTTAAAGAAATAACTATGGTTGATAAAGATGATAAAGACGAAGATGTCGGCCTTACTGTAAAAGATGACGTCGCAATTGATAAAGATGATATCATTGACAAAAATGACGTCGGTTTTGCTAGAGATGACGTCAGTATTGATAAAGATAATGCCAGCGATAGAAATGATGACTTCAGTATCGATAACGACGACGTCACTTCGATGGGTATAGATGACGTCAGTGAAAATAAAGATGACAGCAGTATCAATGTAGATTGCATTTCTGCAGTTGGAAACGATATCACTACTGATAAAGATGATATCACTGCACACGATAAATATAACGTCCCTGCTGTCAAAGGCGACATGCCTGTTGACCCTTCTATTAAAGATGACGTCACTGCACGCGATAAAGGTGACGTCACTGCTGGTAACGGTGACTTGCCTTTTGACTCTTTTGGTAAAGATGACACCACGACACGCAGTAAAGATGACGTCACTGATTTTAAAGATGACTTGTCTGTTGACTCTTCAAGTAAAGATGACGTCACAACACGCGATAAAGGTGACGTCACTGCTGTCAAAGGGGACTTGCCAGTTGACCCTCCAAGTGAAGATGACATCACTGCATTGGATAAAAGTGTGATAAATGTGAACGATGAAGAGGACGTCATCACAATGGAGGACAATGACGTCAGTGCAAATGATATCACTGAAGATAAAGATTTTTCTAACTTGACAGATGACGATGACGTCATCGATGATAACAACGACGACATTGTCGATAAACATGACGTCGCTATTGAGCAAGCTGTTTTTACTTTTGATCAACAAGATATTCCTGTTGGTGAAGTTCTCATTCCTGTTGATAATGCTGAAAGCGAGGTTGATATTCCTCTTGTTTCTACTGATGGGAATGACAAGCAAGGACAAGTGAGTCTTTCTTCTTCACTGTTTCCTTTTACTACACAAACAGTAGATTTTCTTTTGATTTTATGATTATATTACTCATGCTTTCTATAATTGCCATCACCGTCATTGCTAGGTCACTTTAAACTTATTAAAAGTGTTTATTTATCAATTAATCAATGATGGTTCACATGTAGAGATCAGAGAAGACTAAACCAAACCCATCACTAAAGAAAACCAGGAAAAAACGCAAGAAGCGAACTTTAAAACCGGAAAGCCAGACGAGCAACAAGAAAGAGACAAATACCTCTAGAGAAGAACAGCATGACGGAAGCTTTCTATTTTTATCGGTAATGGCTGAAGTTGTGCACTAAATGGCGTCGTGAATTCATAATGACTGAATTTTTTCCTCTAGAAAATGACAATAAGATGGTAATAGCTGTTTATAACGATATTTAAATCAAGTTAAACATCATTTTCATGTTTTCCAGATTCCATCCTTTCCTAGTATGATGAAAAAACGAAAGGCTCCACAAAAGCAGAAAAAAACGAAGAAAACTGTAACCGCATCCAAACAGGCCTCAACACCTATTCTCCCTAATACGAAGAGTATCGCAAGTACTGTAGACAAAGCCAGCATAACTCCTAGAATTCCCACACCAGTCCAGAAACTTACTCCCGTCCGTGCCATTACACCGGTTCAGATCGTTCGCACCAATACACCACAAAGTAACAATCCAAACATTACATTCAAAGCCGTACCAACTAATAGTCCTATAGTACTAAGGCCCACTGATACAAACAGCAGGACGAATACTAGTACACCGCCCAATAGCAGCCCGACAGTGCCTAGTGCATCCATTCAACCAAGTACTTCTACGACCGCAAAAACTGTTGTCACATCAAGTAATGCTGCCTTAAGGAATAAAAGAGCAATTGCACCAAAACCAGCCGATGGAAGCGTTCCTAATCTTGCTTCACAAACTCCGCAAACTGCAAAACGGAGGCGAAAAAATGCAAAGAAAATAAGAAATGAGCCTTCAAAAGAAAATGTTGTAGCTAAGGCACCAACACACCAAGCGAACGTAGCCCCGTTTTCGCTATTATTACAAGTAAGTTGTCGTTGTTATATCATGAAAAAACAACAAACAACATAGCAAAGTTTGTTGATTTACTTTATTTCAATGTTAAAATAGTGCTTAACATGCTCTTGTATGTCAACAGGCTTTTAATATTGATGTTGCTGCAGTTTTGATGAAGCTTAACCCCGGAGCACCCTTGATGACGACTACAAGCAAGCAGTCTTCCAATGAAACAAACTCTGCAAGTGTAACTAAAACTGCATCCAATATCCAGTCTAAAAAGGATATTGTGTCACCTCTCCCCTTGGTAAGTAGGAAACCGCTACCACTTCAAACGGCAAAAAGCGATAAAGCTAGAGATGTAGGACCAAGGACAGTATCTACTGCGCAGAATCAAATATCTAACGCACCTTCGAGTACTCAGCGTGAAACAGATACTGCGCATGCTCATAAAGTCACTGCAGCGCCACTTTCTGGGCAAGTGTTGAATAACAACAAAGATCTTTTGCCAGTAGCAAAGGCTTTGTCAAATCAATGCGATGATAAAAGATTATCCAAAACGCCTGGTGTAAAGCCTGATGAACAAAGAACCAAATTAGGAGACTCCGAGTCACAAACTCATGAAAAGGATGCACAGCCAGCAGTTGTGGCCTCATTGCCAGTGGCTCAAAAAAGTGCAAAACCATTAGACGAGTCAGAGTCAAAGACCACAGAGAATAAAGATGAACATACAACAGTCGAGACGTCATCAGTAGTTCAAAAAAGAACCCAAGAGTTTGGAGAGTCGGAGTCAAAGACTTCAGAAAATAAGAATGAACATCCAACAGTCGAGACCTCGTTATCAGTAGCTCAACAAAAAACCCTAACATTTGGAGAGTTAGAGTCAAAGACTGCAGAGAATAAAGTTAAACAGTCACAAGTTCTTAGTACAAAATCACATCCCAAGGAAGCAGCAACGTCACATGCATTGACGTCACTTCCCCCGGATGTATCAATACCAGCTGGGCAAGTGCATAGCGCACCATCTGTTACGTCAGTACAAAGTAGTAATCACACCATAAGTAATGGTCCATCTTCAAACAAGGAATCATCTACCATGAATACCACTTCATCGCCACAAACCAAAACAAAAAATCCAAAAGAATTTCGATCGCCATCCAGACGTAAATCAAGTAAGCCAAGAAAATTGATTGAAATGGGCTCGCCTACCGCTAGTTCACCGGCATCACCTGGAGGTCAAAAATCCCCTGCGAGTCCCGACACAACAGAACCTGCAGGAAATAGCGCTCCCAAGGAAGTGGTTTCACCAAGTCATAAAAACACTGACCGCCCTCCACCTTCTATTCCTCCACTTCCACCGACGTTAACTACTTTAAAAGGCTTGCGGAATATACTTTCGATGAAGGAACAATTGCAAAAACTCGCCGCTAAAATTGATTCCGTACCAAGTTCGCCTAAGAAGAGAAAGTCCAGTTCAACTGAAAGGAGGGAATTTTCCCCGAGTAGAATTCCAGGTTCAAATAATAAAGCAAATAAGGACAAACCTAAAACTCACGGCACAACGAATATTCTACCAAACAGACCAGCGAGACAAGATGCAATTACTCCAGTAGATGTAATACGTACTGAAAATGACGAAGAATTAGTCGTCGTTCATATTAACGCTCCTACAGTATTGTCAGAATCTCCACCTGAAGAGCAAATAAATATAAATCCAAGAACTGTCACAGAACAGCAGACGACAAGACTTGATAATCGAGTGGTCCATACAGATGTTCCCCCTTCAGAGGGGTCGTCATTTACATCTCCCAGCGGCAGGTCTACCATAGATCCTTATGTGAAATTCTCGTTGTATAGAAAGGCGCCAGAATACAAGCTTCTTTTAGCGCGCTTTCAAAGCCTGTTTCTTTGGCCCATGTTCATGTCAGACGTTGCTGTGTCCAGTAAGTTGATTCCTACTGTCCATAGTCGATTGGCTTCAGCCGTGGACTCGTCCGAAGAAGACGCGTCGTCACAGGAAGGGATCACCAATAAAACAAAAACGTCAAGTAAAAGAATTAAAAAAAAGACAACTCAAGGACCTTCTAAACGCCGTAAAAGTTCAAATACACAATCTATTAATAAGAAAAATTTAGCTAATAAAAGAAGTCAAGATGACGACTCGACTGATGATTCAGAAAGTGATGACGTCATTAAACTTGATGCTGGTGACGATGAATACAGACCTCAGTTCAATTTTAAATCCGATAAAGTAACGCCATCTAGGATATTAAGGCCGAGAAAGCGAGATTATAAATCGGCCTTACAGACCAATCAAGACTCAAATAGTGAATCAGATGATTGTTCTACAACCAAGAAAAAGAGTCAAACTTCTTTGCTACGGAATGACGTAACACCTGCAACTACACAGGAATCCCGGAATCCAGTTGCACCATCTGGTCATGTAGTTGTAACAAAAAAGCCAAGAAAGTCGGGGGGTCAAGTAAATAAGAGAAAAAACAGCAAACAATCACGTARTTTGAATAAGGAAAAACAAGGAAGCCGTCAGAGCAATCCATCCAGTTCATTTAGCCTTTCATCCATTGCGCTAAACGTACAGCAATCCCTCGGTATCTCAAATGKTTTACAACAGGAAGCCCAACAGTCAAATGTGCCATCAACCTCTAATTCTAGCGTTATGTCGACCACTGTTAGCAAGAGACAGGGCGRGGCGCCGTCAAATTCTGAAYCTAATGCTGCGGAGAGTCTTTTATCACTSAACAGCACTGTAGTACCAAAAACAGAAACGCAAAACAACCATCGGCAGACGTGTAAAGAAACCAAGGGTGGTCCTTGAAGGACAACTGTGCAGCTTAAAGGTCCAAATTGCTGAGTGGATGGCTCGGTTGGCTTCAGTAGGAAAGTGCTCGAAAGTGGCCGAYATATTGAAGAGCATTGATGCACGCACAACAGATGTGTCAGTTTGGAATACGATCAATGAATATAGGGACCAAGTATTGAAGATATAATATATATATATTCGGAAAATGTCAGCGTTGAACTGAAGACACCTAGTCTGTGGTCTTTAAGAAAATATCCTAATTCATATTGTTTTCGATCAATATGATCTTGAACTGGAATTCCTGCAGCAAATTACAGTGTTTGCCCAGGTGATTGTTTCTGGAGTGATCCAGCTGCCTTCGACATCTGCCTGAAGGATAAKAAGCAATTCATTGTGGAACTTGCACAAATATAATGCAGTTTGTATATTATTTCAATTTTTTTCTAAATAGTTCTATATTGTGAGATTATATTTTTCCATTGATGATTTTTATGGTATTTAGTGCTAATTGTATAGTACTGTTTCGCGGATATCTTTCTACTTGCAGATTAAATGAAAAACCATATTTCACAAAATACTATAGAGTCAGAAACCAAAGTGTGAAACGTGATATGTGCAAATCGTTTTAYTTTTTTTCTATAAATCGTTGGCTTCTTATTCTTATRAACATTGYGCCCATGTGGGATAAGRGAGYAAATCATTTCTGAGCACGCGTGTTAAGTTATAGATTTGTAATTTCCTTATTTCGCTTTGCTTATAATGTTCAACCATAGCATGGTTCAACGTCGTTAACTATCAAAAAGCCCTAATCAATCCTTCGGCCGACGACCGCAAAGAAACGATTTGCACTGTGATCTRCACTCTTCAATAGCTTGGAGAATTCCTTGTCAACCACGATAACACTTCTAGAGATTTATTGACGTGATCAAATAACAAATTAGCGGAGATCTTTTCTTTGAATTGACATTTAGCTAAGTTTCACTATGATATCATGCGTCTATGCTAGGCCATCTGGACGGTAAACCCATCCCATGAAACTCGACACTTAAGTCATTCCGTGACAGTTCATGATGCGTTTCAGGGGTTTTTTTTCTTAGGCAGCAGCTTGTTTATATTGCGCTAATAGTCCTATTCTTTTGTGCTGAGAGTTCATCAGAAAACCAATACGTGGCAACTATTCAGAGGGGCTATGTACATACAAACAGATTTGTTTTGCTAAGGGAGAATGCTTGTTTCACAAGTATGGGTCTGTTTTGTTTTTTGTTTTTTTTTGTTGAAAGGCGAAATTCAAGGACAATCACTGTCCCTCATACACAAGCCGAACCTTTACAAAACACTGATTTATTGACTTTTAAAAGCAATATATTGGTTTCGATTAACTTATTTCTTTGAAGGCATTTCAATTCTGAAACAAAATACCTCCACCAGCTTATTAATTCAAATTTTTTTAATTTCTCTCAAAGACATTGATTATTATTGTCAATGCTTTTTCTTTGTTTTCGATTTAGGCGCAGTATTTGCTTTCTTTGCAGCACCAGCAGACTCTAAATGCCTTGTTTGAACTAAAAAGAACTAATGAGATGACACTCGATAATCTCCAATCCAGAATCTGAAAAGAACATAAATGATCAAAGCAAAGATAATTCAGTCCCCTTTCTCCAAGAAACTATTGTCTGTTTTCTGGTGTAAACAGTCTCATTCCGTTTTGATTTCGTGTTAATTTAGCATAATTTATGCGCACATGTTTTTTCAACAGGTGGTTGATTGTTAAAGTGATTGAAAACACGTGGTCTGTACTTAAAGGGCCTAGTCCATATCATTAAAACTGATTAACGCATTTTTAAACATTACGAATCACGCAAATTATCACTGGGATCTTACAAAACCCTCGATTGATCTACTTTCTCATAAAAAAAAATGATTCTAACGTAATTTTCATTCTAGTAATTGTTGGAAAGCTTTCATTTCTCACGGACCACTTTTTGTTCATCGATATTACTATGGAATTTTTCCTCTTTTATAACAAATGAATCAGAACATTTTCGATGGATTTTGACCACATCAATCATTTGTAATTATGCGCAACTCCTCGCTCATACAATAAATTCCAACACAAATTAAGTTTAACGGCAACATCAGTAACGCACTTAGGTGAAAAGATTCTAAAAGGTGCTAAAGTAAGATTATTGTTTTTCTTGTATTGGTCGGTGCCAGGCGACATCTTGAAACGCAACCGTGAATTTAATGAAATCAAGACTGGCGGTTGAGTTTTTTCACTTACAGAACAAATTATTCACACGTACACAAGCGCGATGCCCTTCGATTCCAATAAGCGCATTACAAGATGGCGCTGGAAACTGTCAAGGGGAGTGTAGCAAAGAAACGCGATTAGTTTTTCGCCTCTTGAGGCGTATTAAATTATTCCCGTGCAAACTAGCTTTGTTTCTGAATTGAACAAGCAAATTGATACAAAATTTCGTCCTAGAACTACTGCCACGTTTCCTTTGGAGCAGTTTTTACATCTTTTCCTCGAAAACATTTCCTTGAGTTTGAGATAACAAAAAATTCCGGCACAGAGGGGTTAAATAAGTGAAAGAGGAGGATATCAGGGTACAACATTTTAGTATATTACCGCTTATATAGTATATGGTCCGTTATTTGTAGTAATTATACACTAGAGACAGGAAGGCGTGTTTTTATAATAAGCAAATCTCTAAGATGAACTATAACGATGGTGATATCGTCTTTTGTCAGTGGTCGTAGGGGTGTGACATACGATCAAAAGCCCAAACAAGCTTCATTACCATCAACAAACAGATCTTTAGATTCTAATTTTGAACATCACGAAACACCACTTAATAGAAAAATCACCCTCAACCGTGAACTAGTTCAACGCCGTTTTACCATCGGTCGCACATTTATTTTATCGTTGCAATGTAAATAATTTGGCTTTCGAATAAAATATACAAATAAATTAGGGAGGAGATACAGAAAAAAGTCCAATAGCAAATTCAATACAATGATGACATTGAACCTAAAGGCTAAAGTAATTGGCATTTACATAAGCACATGTAAGATTCGACGTTTTTTTTCTTTGAATCGCGTGCCGTCTATCACAGTACTTGAACAATTGACGTAACGCCTGATTGTTTGTCACCGCAGTCGCAGCACGAAGTTTTGAGAAGTCACGGACGACGCGCAAARACTTTTCTTCTACATACCAATACATAGTATTTTTTATACGCTTAATGACTTTCACTGGTCTATTAATGTGAATGACGTGTTGATCTTTATCTCCAGCTCACAGAATTATTTTAATACCAGAAACCGCGTGTCTTATAAACAAATGCGCGCGCATCTACTACCATCAGAATATTACGGAATACATATCGATAAATCTTTCACTAGGGCACGAGCGAACGCTCCTGAGCGTCTTGTGACTATAAAAGCCCAAACATTGTGATGTCGATTATTTTTTCAAGCTCTACGAAACGAAAGGGAAACAGCCAGTTAATTTAGCACATCTAAGTTCGTATACAAAAAGAAATGCTTGTTTCGAAGGCAATGCTGCCGCTATCTAAGAGTATCTGATAAGGAACAAATTGTGCTCGAGGGGGAATGATATTGATAAGTGTCGTAGGACCACTCGTTGTGATAAACACCACCTCGCTTAATTGCTTTTTCATGAAATATGTCTGTGTCCGCTATCCATTTCAAACTGCTTTAAACAAGAAAATAAATAAAAACGTTAAGGAATCGAAGGTGCATCGAACGAGAAATGGATCGATCGATCAACTCTATTTGCTGATTTCGTGCAAAACTAGTTTTTAGTAAAGACCGCTGTAATCGTCGCATGGAGTAACGTTAAGGAAGGGTATTTTAGCACCCCATCGCTATACTAATTTGCTGATGACGACCGATAGCTTACTTTATTATTAAGGAAAGAGGAACTCGAATCTTTGGCCATGAACAGGCGAGGTAGTATCCGTGCCAACCGAGTGCAATCTATATTAACAATGGCCGATCTGGCTGATACTCCACTGAGTGAGATAGCATTCATTGGGGCAGGCATCAAGGTCAGAAGTGTTTCTAGTAAACAATGGCTAAAATATATAGGAAAGGGTCGGGGGGGAGGAGGGGGTCTTTTAGTGTGCTGCGGCGTGTAGCTATCTTGTCTTCAAGAGCATTCTCAACAGTGGATAGCGTTTATTTAACAAAGAAACTCCATCATCGTAGTTAATGTAACGTCCGCCATATTGAAACTTTTATAACTACCATGATGCACTTCAGCGAAAATGACGTCATACATTAGAGGAAACTACTATCCAAATTTGGGCACGGACCCACATAATATCTTTTAAAAATGAATGGCATGATAACAAACACGCAATAACTGTATGACGGTTCTATATTACTTAAATTACTTTGACACAATAATCAATGCAAATGATAAGAAAAAATATCTTTCGCAAAATTGCTGTATTCATTTGTAAATGATGATATCACCAGTGCACACATGTTTATTAAAGAAACGTCTATTGATGAAAAAAACTCGGAGAAATATAAATAAAACCTTGTTCGCTTGGCGGTCTTGATTAATTAACCATATTCAAATACACACCACGTAAATTAAACAGGTCCAATATCGTCAACATTTAAAAAAACGCCGAAAAATCGATAAAAAGCGATGACGTGTCGTCTTGTTTGCTGAGTCAAAACTTTCCTTGGCGGTCTATTCATTAACTATACATAACCACGCGACTTAAACGGGTTATTCATTGTCAAATATCGCCAAACATAAAAGAAAAACCCCAAAAAACATATCGATAAAAACAGTGACGTCATCGACAGTGACGTCTTCTGATCTTAACAATTTCTCTATTTAACATTTGGCATTATTAGAAGCCTATAGAGTTTCCTGTTAATTCTCCTCACCATATGTCCTTATATTATACCTATGAAAAAAATCTATATATGTAGAGGAAGAGAAGTGAGACAATCAGAACATATTCTCTACAGAACTGTTTCGTTAGTCGACTCGATCAGTCGTCAGGAGATTTATTAACATTCAAGGAACTACAATGAATATATAGCATGTGGAAGGCTATTTACATAGTTGTTCAATCTAGAATTGTTTGAATGTAAATGTATTTCATAAAATTATTGTATCATATACGCTATAATGAATTTATATCATGGGCAATACTGAGGAGATCTTGAAAACTTGTTAAATGCCGCTGGCATCTCAGACAGTTATGTTAATGATGGTCACATGTCTGATAACGGGAGGACCGCAACTGCGATATATCAAACCTAGCACCTCTTTCCAATCCCTCTCCGTTTTGTCATTCCACATATGGTTTAACTATGCCCTATACTTCAAGTAAAAGCAGTTAGCAAGACTAACCAGCTAACTCCAATAAAACCGTTTTTAGCAAGCTAGGTGCTCGTGTTTGCATAGATTTAAAACCGCTATTTTAATACAAAATGTACTTTGAGATGTCTGGGTACTCACTAAAGACGCCCGGAGATTCTGGCTTTCTTAATAGCTTTAAGAACCTAGATTTTTACAAGTCTGCCTTATTAGGCTGTTATATAAATGGTACTTAACATGAAATTAGACTCTCTAGGCTCTTATGAAAGAGTGCTTAATTTTGGTAAGAAAAAAGTCCTCGTATTGATGGGTGTGGCCTTTATAATATTTATGTTCTCGTTTCTATGTGAGTTAAACGCAATATAACAGAAGAATGTAAAAATAAATCATACAAAATAGTGACAATGTTGCTAATTTATTTACAAGATAATAATAAAGAGCCTTTGAGAGATAGATGATAATAAAGATACTTTGACTTTTCGTGCAAATTGTTTTTAATTGAAGTGTACTTAAACAGAAAATTTCAGCTTGATAGGTCCTTAAATTTAAGGTTCTTATACACTGTATTAGTTATAATACGGAATGCAAAATATAATAAGATAATAACTTCTTTATACCTTGCCGAATCTGTTTAGGGAGGACGAAGAATGGAGTGCGATTTTGTCCTTTTTGTGGCTAATGGCTCGGAAAGAGGCTCAAGTCACTATGCTATAGCCTGTTAAGTGTGTGATGTCCATGTAATTCGGGATAACTCGTTTGTTTGTTGTTGTTTTTGTTGCTGTTGTTGTTGTTGTTGTTTTTGTTGTTGTTGTTGTTTGTTGTTGTTGTTGTTGTTTTTGTTGTTGTTGTTTGTTGTTGTTGTTGTTGTTTTGTTTTACTTGCAAGTCTAAGTCATTATACGAAAATAATTTTTAGGGGATTTGTTTGTTTGTTATTGTTTTTTTTTTTTTTACCAACAGCTCTTTTACTACAGCACGGATACGAGGCATAGCCGAGCATTAAACACGAGCAGGACTATTGACAAAAGTACTGATTCACACCATTCAATTAACTGGTCAGTGTTAATCTGATATACTTATATATACTTATATGTTAAGTGTTTTGCTAAAACAGGCAATGTTTAAGTAGTGTTCATAGCTAGGCGTGAGCCCAGTTCTCAAAAAATGGAAGGAATTGTCTATTGATAAGGTCATTTTTATTTATAGAGTTTACATGAACATCTGAATGATCATTTGATCTCATTCACAACCAATAAATTTGAACAAACTCGCGTTCTTATTTGCGGGCCACTTAAGTAGGGATAAAACAAAATGGCGGATATATTTGTAAAATCCACGTGTTATTGGAATAGCATATTTAAGGCTTCGTTAAATAATAAATTAAGCTATTTAAGTTTAGATATAAATGCTGATGGTGCCTTTTAAGAGTTTGAAAGAAAAAATGTGTTAAAAATTTGTATAATTGTGCGGCAAATTAGGAGTAATAAAATTTCCCCCATGAAAGAAACCTCTACATTTAAGATTTCGTTTCATTTACTCGTGAGATTTGAGACTTAACTAAATCTTTGTAACTAAATATATATGATAGCATGGGTGAAATGTTTCAGTGTGTCCTTATACAACCCTCGCAAAGATTAAATCCAACCGAAAGTTGTAAAAACAAACTATTTTAAGGCATGGATTACGTTTACCACCCCGTTATTTTGATCTTTCAATTATTTTGCGTCATAACTTTGTATTTCAATGAATGCATTCATACAATTATCGGGATCTAATCTTTCCAATCATCTCCCCCACACAATGACTTGTAAACAAAACCTTACGTCAACACCACGTCATATTATTTTATTGTATGTTTGTATATGAAACATCGCTAAAAGTAAATTGTTTTTTTCTTTAATTTAGGTCGCGTGTCAATAACAATGTCAAGAGTGGTGAAGAAGATGCTAGCAGAGAATAAAAAAGACCGATAAACCAGTCTCGTGGGAAGAAGACATGGGAAGACTAATTCTAGAAAAAGAGAAACATTCCCTCAATAAAATTAATAGAGACGTAGATAGATGGGGCGCATCTATAAATCTACGCGCTTCCTTCATTTCTTTCACTTAAATACACATTTTATTTTTGTCTTAAGCTTTTGTTCAGTGTCGCTCAGGATTTAGTTTTTTTCTCGATTTCAGTTTATCTTTGTTTAACAAACTTAAACGACACTTCAATTTCAGCATCTCTTAGTATTATATAGTATTACAAGATTTCAACAAGTTCTTGCCCGGCGATGTAAAGCTACTTTAAAATGTATTAATAACTATTGTACTACAAAGACTAAAAAACACGTTATTTGCTAAACTGTCCATATACTATCTTTGACGTATTAAAGTAGCTCGATCAACCCGTGAAACAAAAACGTATTTTACGAGTTTATCACTCTTTCGACCCCGTCCCCCCCCCCCCCCCCCCCCCCCCAAAAAAAAGGAAACTCTTGTTATAGTCTGTACAACAACGGTGATATTCGATATTTAACTTACTTTTAAATATACCTAAATGCGAAAATCAGTATTTCTCAATATCCAGCCATCATTATGATCTTTTATGTAAAGAGGAATAAATGGGTAATAAACGGAAACTATTAAACTTTTTTTATGTTTTGTTTTTGAAGCTATTGGTTTATAAAAGATTCTTAAACATTAACGAGGAAGTTCTGTGCTAATACGTAAGTTATTATAAAAGTGCTTTTCCTCAAACGTTTCAAAGTCATTCGCTTATAAAAGTTAATCTAACAGCTTGTGTTCTATCTTTATCAAGGAGCTTTATATTTCTTTTTAATCACGTAATTTTTTTTCCTTTCACAAGCGCATCGAGTCGACATATGGCGTGGGCAATTAGTCAGAATACAGATATTGTTCTTGCTATAGATAAAACAAGCAAACGACTGAGTTTTACCAACATTTAATTAACGTCTGATGACGCAAGCAACACATTTCTCGTCCTGTTTTGATGTTACGACTTAACACTGAGTTTTTCATAAAATAACACTTAGGAACGAGGCAAAACACGCAATTTCTATCAAAATTAACGCCTAAGATACATTCATCTGAAAAAAAAGCGCATACCGACCTTTTGATAATGAAACAAAGAAAGACAACATAATGGCTGAAAATTCTATGACGCCTTCTTGTCAAACAAAAGTTTCTCACGTGAGAAGTTTTGAATATATTTTATAACAAAGGGTTAATTTGATTACTGATGACGCATTTTCATAAATTAATTCGGACAAAGTTGTGAGCATAAACAGTCGTTAATTAACTTAAATTTACTTGGAATTCCTCACCGAATTTCATAAAAAAGTATTACAATCTATTTTCTTTTTTGTTATAACGGCAATTTATACAAATAGTCGACTATAAAACTGCCAGTCATGTCGAAACCCTTGTCAAGTCAGAGTTTCTGGAAAATCGAAAGAGATTCTTTTCCGCGCAGGATAGTTGTGTCTAATACTAGTAATCATAATAATAAAATATAAGAAACTACAGTTTAATATCACATTTACTAGTTTTAATTTTTATAACTCAAGTAAAGATATATAATGACAAAATAATTTTCCCTTGAGTGCATTTGTTTTATGTAGAATCCAAACAAGGTGATAAATGTTGACGTCTATATAAATATTACGACGTACTCTGCTTGGTCAATTTTTCGTGCCTTTTTTTCTGGAGTTAAAACTGCTAAGTCCTTCCCAGACAACTTGTCGTAGTTTTATCAGAACGGAAACGGTTGATAAGAAGTAGAAGTGTTTTCCTATAAATTCGAGTTCAAGGTTTCATTTTTTCTTGAAGAGGAAGAAAGGTGACAAAACCACTTTTTACTCAATTGGACAAATTTCGTTACGTTGTGCTTGCATTTAAAATGAATTTGACCAACTTCGTTTAAGATGAGTAAATATGGCCGACCCTGCAGCTAGAGCTTCCGCACTTGTGTATCATCAAGATATAGAAGTCTTGCCCTGGTGGAAAGAAAATATACGCTCTCGTTGCTCAAAACATATTTTACTTGATCTTTTCTTTCGTGACAGCGACGTTTTCGCCAATTGACAGCTTTGAAGATAGTTCTTCAGAAAACGTCAAAAACTTTGCAGGAGAATTTGGCAAAAACCCTACAGAAAACAACAAAAGAATACCAGATATAAATATTTTCGTTGCAGTCTCAGGCAAACCTAATTACCACACACGCAAAAACAAAATTCATCGAATCTCGACTACATTTTTTCCCTTTTTCTTTGTTTTCTTTTCTTTTTATTCATTCTTTCTTGTTTGTATGTACAGCAGAAACTGTATATACACGTTAATCAGTTAATATGCCTCTAACATTCAAATGAGAAGCAATTTTAATAGCCGAGGTATAAAAAAAACCAAAACCACACAAAGGAAAACAAAGTAATTCGAGACTACCAAGGTCTAATTCAAGTAATTCTTTTTCACGCCTTTCTTAGTTTAACTCATTTCACGGAAGTAATGGGGGGTCAGTAATCAGAGATATTCACGGGATCAGGGATTACTAAATAAATTCATTTTGGGGCAGAAAGATCAGCGAAATCTCTTTCTTACATCTGAATTGGGATCGCAAAAGTATGGATCGGACTGAGATCAAAATTTTAGCTATTCTAGTATTTTCAGCCTAAAATAAAAAAAAATAAAATACAAAATAAATTAACACTGAAAAACTATATACCTCGTTACTACTGAGAGATCACGCAGTATACGAGACAACTATATGCCTAAAAACAGCAGGAAAGACGGCGTTCGTGCTGATAACCACTTTTCCTAACGACCCCTGTATTTTGAACTCTAATTTTAAATGCCTTCGAAAACAAAAGCAATAGAAGAGACTTTTTAACTAATCGACCAGACTTGGTGCTTGAACGTGGAATACTGAATCAAAACGAACTGAAATCGTTGGTGAATTTCACTAATGATTTCACGATAGGTTATTTTGGACACTGCGAATTTATGTTTAGCGGTAACTTCTTGAAATGAGGTTGTATATGAATATCATGAATTACGTGATTAAAAATTACATTAATGTTTTTTGTTAATTTTAAAACCGCATAAAATACACCATTAGAAAATTGGCAAGAGTGCCGTTTTTGGAGGAATATATCTTGACAATATATTTAGCCCTAAAGAAATGAAAGGCTATCAATAGCAATAATTTCACAACATTAAAAAAAGTCCTATAGTAAAAATTGAGGAGTTTTGACTTCTTGTATCATCCAAGACATTGATGTATGACAAATTACAAAAATGATGGCGATGATGTTTCCATGTTAACAAAAACTATAACATTATGTGATATAAAATATAAAAAAAATATAAACAATGGCGACGATAATTCTGTTCAATTAACTAATTCGCGTTCGTTTAAATGAATATTAATTAATGGGTTATACACTAATGATGATGCAAACTCTAAGCATTCTTCGTGGGACGTGTCTATAGGAGAATCGACATTTCTCGAAGTCTATTTTGGCGATAAAATCTGATTGGATCTATTTGATGAAGTTTTCTTTGAAACGTCACACTAAACACCTCCAATTATCTGGTTGTCATGACACCATCGATTCCCACGTGCTGGCTTTCTCAACTCAATAGACAAGTAAATGAACCTACTTTCAAGAATAAACTCAACTATTATAATAGTATAAATACATTTGCCTTAAAGAAAACACTAAAAATACACCTAAGACTACTTTTAGTGAGTTTAAACAATTAAGACGGTAAAATATCAACCATTTTAGAAAACAACTTAAGAAAAAGTTCCTTTAGTTTGTAGTGGTTTAGTTGCTATAAACAAAAATTAGGAAGAAATCCCATGAATGTGCGAGAATTAGAATTAGCGTGCTTTCGATGGAAATCCAGGAAAATAAAACTTACACACTTAAGAAATTATTTCACTTTAAAGTCTGCAAGAACATTTTTATTCCATCTTTATCTATTCCTTCCGAAAGAGTTTTTTTTCCAATTAGGCCTTTTGTTGTAATATTCCTGAAAACGTCAACGATTTGATGTATAGTGGCGCCGAAACAAAAACTGTTCTGTTATCATATTCACAATTGATCAAAGCCTTGTCCACTACACAACCGATTGCACTTGGAAAGAAATAATTTTCAAAGCGCTTTAGATCGAAGATTGCTCCTAAGAGAGACCAGAAACAAAAAGTTCGAGGCAATTAGATTTCGAACTACACAATATGTTAATCTCCTCTGTACGAACTCGCCAAATTATGCAAATTTTACTCGGTAACCGCCACACAAATTGTAAATAAGGGATCCTCACGTAGAAGTTAAAAAGACTCTAAAAGCATACAACCACATCAACAATCGTTGGGTGTCAAGTGACCCGTATTAAAACGGCATTCATTGGCGAAAAAAGTCATTTGGCAAAACCAAAACACTGATATCGAGTTAACACAACGCAAACCCAATGATTACACAATTGGAGACCAATTTTAATACTTCCCTCCGAAGGAAATTTGTAACTCGATTGTAAAAAATATATATAGATATATAGATATAAAGGAACTGTTACAAGAAGCATTAACCGTTTAAAGGTCATGTAGTTTTAAAGAACTGCCATAGTGCCATGGATTTCAATCTACGTGTTAACGAGGACCGGATATGATCCTCTTGCAAGTTTCCTGTGCAAGCGTGCGCGCATTGAAAACTGTACCTATATCGAGAGAATATACGAGATTTATCGCAACCGCGTATTTTGGTGCAAATCGATTAAAATCTCAAACTTTGATGATATTCAAATTGAGCTTTAGGAGCTTTCAGTTATTTTGTTGTTGTCATTTTTTTTACGCCTCGTTTCTCCCTCTCAACTCACACGAGCGAGACAAAGCAGGGAACCCATTCGACTGTACCATAAACGTCACCAACGGACCAATCAGCGAATCTCTCCGTTTTTGTTTGGGTTATTAGGTCACGTGGAAACATCACATGGAAAAGAATTTATTCAAATCGCTCTCTCTGATTGGTGGATGTCTAATTGAAGCTGTCATGAGTAATAATTGCTGTGATGAAAGCAACAATGAGCTGTCAGTTAACCATCTAGCGCCCTCCCCCTCGATCTCGGACCGGCTCATCTGAAAAAACTGAAAAGATGGATCTACAGTGTGTAGCCACGCGAAAATAGCGATCACTAAAGAAACCTGTGCGATTTTCAACGGAATTCCTCAGAACGGACACCCATACGACAATCATATGAGTTGGGTTCTCCAAACAGAGAAATTATCGGGGGGAAAGAGGCGACTTTACTAAAGTGCTTGAGTGTTTGAGGTCTTTTTGTGCTATTSAGAGTGTGCTGGTGCTCGCCAGGCCTTTTTTAAACCGTGGAAGTAGAAGGAGTCGCGCGAGCTGTACACCATTAACGGAGCACAGCGTTTTTCATGCTGGAGTGTAGCAGCGATCAGGCCCTCAGCATTCAGTCTACTGCACGAATGAATACGCTTGGAGGAGACAAGGAGCTGAGCGATCTTTTGGATTTTAGCGCGGTTAGTATGGTTGCGATCAAGTGTTTGCTTCGTTGCACTCCGAGTTGACAAGAAAGTGACTCGACACTGCCACCGTGCGGATTTCCCTCCTCACTTAGCTCATTCTCCATGTTATCTGTTGTATTGTAGATGTTCGCGCCTCCAGGATCTCTGGTCGGAAAATCTGCAGGAACATTAGCCGAATCAGGCCTGTCTGGTTCACTACATCGAACAGGTGCCATAGCTGGTTTACTTCACTCAACATGATATACCCACTACCATACTTGAGCATAGACTTTGTAAGACCTGTTGTATCGGACATAGGACTACCAAACTCGGCCATCTGATCAAACCAACATCAAGGAATACATTCGGACCAAAACCACTGCGATTTCTTTTAATATTTGAGATTTTCTTTTGTAGGCACTTTGGAAGAAAGCTCCACGTGGCAAGCGAACGTCTCGGGATATGACAGGGTAATAGTTCGAAACGATAGAAGAGAGATTTTCATTTGACTTATTTAAAACAACATACCAAAACAAACCACTATCCTTGTTTTATAAAACATCAACAGCAGTCGACCAGGAAATATTTGTCACAAGTGTGACGGACAAGAAGACCTGAGTGTGTATTTTTTGGAGAGATTTAAAAATTGTRCGTGGTCGGACAACATTGATAATGCRACTGGAGTTCAGAGCTAGTGCTTTCACAAATGAATTGAAGTAGTTTTTCTTATAGTAAAAAATCTATTAGATTTTTTTTAAGAATCCTTAGAATACTACCCATAAACATCTATTACATTTTGTTATGTTTGGAAGTGCATTTAAGCGTTTGTTATTGATTGACACAGGCTTACCCCTCTGACTCAAGCCATGGATTGTATGGAACTATCGACGATGTAGACACAGAATTTTTAGCCAGAAAAACTACGAGTTTTTCAAGCTATCTCACGTCAAACTCACTCGCGAATTTAGGTAAGGTCTTTTAGTAAATTGTTAGAGGTCAAGTTAAAATTATGCCTTTGTTATTATGAGCTCGGTACAAGAAACCAAGCTTGTTTGGTCGACTCGTGTACTCTCGCTTATAGCCTATTGTATTGAGCTTTGTRGTCCGTTTCGCTCGCTTCCTTTTTATAGCATAATTATTGGATCGTGTGACCGAATTACCCAAACTACGTTCAATCTTGTCTAAAAGTCCGCCATGAGTAATAGTTCAGCCATTTTCAACTACTACGGCCTCATTAGAGTGTTTGACATCGAGCATTTGATCGCTTTTTCTTTCATTCGGCGTCCAATTTATTGTTTTTCTTGTTGGCGTGACTCGGCTCTCGATTTTCGTCGTTTTCGCCTGGATGAACATATTTTCACAATTCAATTAACCTTAGTTATTCGACAGAACTTGACGTCTTCTTTTTTGGGATGTATTTTTTTTGTTTTCTTAAATAGGAAAGTCATTTTTTGATCTTCTTATTTGGACCGCTATTACAAACAACCGATGAATATGTCTTCGTCATAGTCAACTCATAACAATGAAACAAGATCCCAAGCAAAGTTTCGAGTTTTCTTTAGAGAATTCCCTCTTAGAAAGAAAGTTCTTTTTTTATTGTTTATACACTAATAAATTCATCAGTTCAAGGGGATTTTTGAATATTTTGAAAACATAATCGTTTTGCCCCTTTGTAGTGGACTTCGATTGAACAAATAAAATATGGTAATCCACGCATATCCCAAAGGAACTTTACCCCTCCTTTGACAAGTCTCTAGTTAGATCGAAGTCKCCATTAATATTAATTGTAACATCCACTCTAGTAACTTTCAAACGAGCAGAATTGATCAGAAAGTAGCTAAGTCAGTATATCAGATGGTCCACATATGGTTGCCTTAATGCAATTCAGTCCAACCAGAGACTTAATGTCCTTGAAAAAATATGCCCGACCACAAACAGTCAAAAAATGGCAGTTGATTCTTTTGAGGTGAAGTAGTATGATACATTGTTTAGCAATAAGCGAATTAAATATCGTARGAGCGTATATTTCTGGTATTCCAGTACAAGAACAGTCAACAAAGGGTGGGGCTTAATAAGTTTACACCAAAATGGAAGTTTTATATATCGTGTAAATCGTGTTTGTGAAGGATCATTTAAGTTCAGATACAATGTGTGCTGGTTAAGTTGTTTTTCCAGAAAGGAGAATTTGATTCATTTGTTGATTCATCTTGCCTTATCTTCAGCTTTAACTAAATAAAACTTTACAGACTGTAAACTTTGAATAGCTTGTATTATGACTACACAAGTTATCCCAAACACAGCTTTTGGGCTTTGTATAGATTTTCTGTCAAGTCAAATGACCCTAGAGAAATGAAGACAAACTCTGGATCTTGTCAAATGACAATTGAAAACAAGTAAAAAAGTTTTTTTTCATTTGAAGCTAATTTGTGTATCAGAAAAAAATAAACAAGCTTATGTTAAAAATGTTATTGGTTTTGACCACTAGCAGAATATACTTTGTCAAAAATTCATTCATAACTACTATTCAAATTCTGTCTTTGTTGGAGCTCAATGATGAAAGGCAAAAGAAGAGTAACGGCTTACAGTTTTTAACAATAGATTGTAGAAATGATTTCATTTTTTGATAACTCAAAAAGACAACACTTTCACTGGCTACTTGATGTTTTTGATTTTCTTCACTTTTTTTTTGACTTTAAATTTGCTTATTTCATGAATTCAAAAATACATTGAAAATYAGATATCCAAGGAGTATTTTTTTCTTAAATCTCACTTTTAAATAAAGAGTTAGTCAGTTTATGTTTTTGTCTTTAGTTAAGAATATTAATATTTGCTTAAGCAGAACCTTAAATGTACACAATGGAGCTGAATGGGTTATTATCATCAAGAAAAAGTGTCTTCAATGATGCAATACTGAATTATTTCTATTTATACCTATTCAAAGTCCATTCATGAACTTCTGAATGTTCATATTTCATCGTTCTTTTCATCATATCTTGGCAACGGCATTAAAGATTAGCTTTATTACTCAGAAGCAAATACATTCATTAATACAGTCTTTTATGATGGAAGGGGCTGGCCTGTGTGAGAGGTTTAATTTTGTTGATATAAGACAAATTGGTGGGTCTATATTCATGTTAGAAATGAATTTACAAAAAAAACATCGCTACCCATGGAAGCTGTTATCAATCAAGATTCATAAGAAAAGCTTGTTCTGAATGGATAAACAACTCTCTTTGTGTGAAACTTTATAGTCAACACTAAATGCAAATTTTCAGTATAACAGGTCACATTTTATATTCTGAGTCAAATGGCAGGTTTCTTTTATTAATGTTGTTCTTGTTTTTAATCTCTGCTTGGATCATAGATCATATATTATATATATAATACATATTARATAAAACTGGTATAACTCGATGTGATTACTCTAAGTATAGATGAAAGAGTACAAAATAAGAAATGATTAATTCATACTGTGACATAGAAGCATCAATAACAAAGTTAAAAATGAATTAAAAATGTAGATTCTCAAAAATATASGTTGAAAACWCCAATTGATGCCTGCTTAACTCTGATGTCTTGATCTTTGGCAAAARCAAGCTAAATCTGAAATAACGTTAAATTTCATCTTTTGTTTTGAAATACAGGCCTAACGATTCTAAAATACTATACAATAGAATCTGATATTAGTTTTCATTTTGAGATATACCCTTTTTCTAATTACAAAATGAGGCTATYTACACAATTATAGTCTGAAGCTTRTGCTCACACTCACACTGACCTCTTCTTCTTTTTTTTAAGTCTGTTCAACGTGGTCAACAYTAATCTTTAGCAAATATAAGATGAWTTGAAATCAGGAATTGCGCTTTCTCTAAAGAATATTGCACTAATCTCCTCTGTACATAAAATACATTTTCTAATGTCAACATTATTTGGCTATTTCAAAATTTGTGAATAAATAATTTGATAATTTTTCCCTAGAAAAGTAAAATTCATGTTTAGGGGACATGAAATTCATAAACAAAAGAAATTTTATTATCACCGTATATGCCAATTTTCAATCAAATGAGGGAAATAGTTCACTATTGTTTGACATCCTACAAACTGAAGATCTTTTCCAGTAGAAAAATTAAAGTGATTTAAGATATCTTGGATTTAACTTAACTTTTTGTATCAAAATATTGTAACTAAATTTATGATCATTCCATGTTTGGTCATACTATCTACAGATCGTAATAACAACACAATCTCATTTTGAAAAAATCATCCTTGCTTTGTTTTTTCTGTCCTATTGTGAATTGAAAATTATCGACTATATTGTTTGAATCTCCTGTATGTCATAATAAGAAGCACATATTTCATTTAGTATATAAAAACACTAATATTTCTTAATTCTTTAAATGTTTAATGGTGTCTGGGCATTACTTTTAGGCATGAAACARGATGGATTATTGTGGAATTCAAATGAACATATAGTTGTCACGTTTTCATGTATTTTATAAATGCAAATCTCCAAAGAATTTTCTCAGTTTGACACAAGGAGCAGCTCTAATCTTAACAAAGGATTCTATACATACAGTTATCTTTAAAATGCTATTGTTACTTACGGCTTTTTGATCAATCAAAAACAGAGATTATCAAAATATCTATATTTTTACTTAATACAACGTTATATAGGAACCATAAATTTCAACACTTTTTATGTCTAGTTGAAAATATCTTTTCATTTCATAAAGTTTTAAAATAATTACACCTCTGTTTTTAAAGAAAACATCAAGARTTCAATACTAATGATGATAACAAATGATTCTCGTGTTTTCTCTGCTCTATATATTTATGTTATTTATATTTCGGTGAATCAAGCCTTGGTTCAAAGGAATCCTTTTCTTAAAAGCGATATGCTTTAAATAATGACTGGCAATAGAATGTATCATTTTTATCATACTGGCCCTTCAAAGGGACAGCTTCTAGCTTGTATACAATGCCCAAGTTCTTGAAATTCATATCTTGAATAATCTTTTGAGTAATTCCATCAAGATGACACTTACAACATTTTGGTGTCAAAAATGATCTTTGAGCAACACAGCTAGATAAACAATGTGACATTTTAAATGCTGCCAAGTCACAAGAAGTATTTCAATCATCAAATAGAAAATTGTCTCATTTAAATTTTTAAGCCTTTATTTCTTCTCAAGGGCGAAAAATGGCATCAAATTCATACAATATTGACACGGTTATATGGGATTTAACTGAATTATTATTGGAAGTTGTTGAAATGTTATTGTTCTAAAATAACCTAAATTTATAATTCATTGTAATTATTAGTACTTTTTATTGTCGGTCTTGGAATCAAAGATGTAATTATTTTTAGCAATAATGATCACAAGCCAGATTCTACAAGCATTATAAAAACACTGCAATTTCACAAGGATTTAAGAAATCTGTCTGTTTAAATCATACAAACCAACTACGTTAAGTAATATTTTTCTGGTATTTGAACAATTATCATTTTTTTTGGCAGAGTTAGAAAATACCAAAATATTACCAATYCCGAGAAAATACATAAAAAGTTCACGAGTAGAATGCACAGGCAGCCCAATATTTATTTGTCTTTTCATAACAAATGAAATATAAAAAAATAATATAAAAAATAATATAAAAATAAGACTTTTTTGTAAATTGTAGACTACTATCATAAGATATACAAGGATTGATTTTTTTAGGTTATTTAACTCAGAATGAGGACAATTTAACTAACTCCATTATGCCAGACCACAATCTTCAAGACATTCTTTTTAAATAATATGCATCATGACCATGATAATATCAGTTATGTCTATGTCTAGTGAGGTAGTAAAACTATAAAAAGTTTACACAAATACAGACTGACAGGATAGTCTTTATGTACCACAGGCAGGTTTGTGAATTACTTAAAATTTTCTTATTTTCACAACTGATATTTTAAAATSTTTTCTTCTAGGTAAATCTAAAGATCCCTACACTTCATCTTATTCTCCWGGTTATAGAGACTCTGGTTTAGCCTCAACACAAGTATGTCCATAGTATTAGAACTTTGATAATGTATTAGAGCGGATTTTGTATGAGTGGGACACCGTTACCGCACAGTTACCGCACAGTTACCGGACCTGGCCTTCACAATTTTGGTGAACCAATGGGGCACTAGAATTTGGTTACAGTACGYTTACGGTCACAGTACAGTACCGTCCGTTTCCCACTCATACGAAATCCGCTCTATACATATAATACTGTATGTAATATACTGTAATATACTGTATATATGTACAAATTGTACATATATAAATCTATCAAAATACCATAGATCCAATTTTTCTTAAACAACTGGTAGTAATCATTGTCAAATATCAAGTTTCAAGGAAAACACTAATTGAACAATTGAAAATATTCTGTGTTTTACAAAAAGGATATTTCATCAATTAACCTTTGAAACATTAATCAAATGTTTCAAATAAAACTGACACCACAATCAAATATATGAAAGACCTACGTGTAACCTTCTTTTATTTATTATGTCCATTAAACTAATGAAGCTTTTGAATATTGTTTGTTAAAACAGGGAGCCAGCGATGTCTCATTATCAAGCTCCGACTGTAAGTTTCTCAKTTGTTAGCAGTAATTACACATTGAAACCTGACAATGTTAGAAAATAGTGTTTTTCTGTCAATATGTGACACAGAATCAAGAACTGTTGAAATACAATAGTTAGGGTTAGGGATAGAAGTGTGTCTTTATAGTGTGGATTGAAGACTAATTGGGTCATTGAAAAGCAGTATTAGAATGGCACAAGTGTTACAATATAATATTTMGACAGCATTTATCACAATAAGTTGCTCTGCACTTTGAGAGTGATTTCGTATTTGAATGGTTTGGGTTTTAACAATTCTTTTAAGTTTGAATCAAGAGCTTTTCTTACAACAATTATAGATATTGCTTTTATGTTTTAGAGAACATCCACAGATTCTTTATTTTTCTTTTTGAGGCAATATTATGTTTTCTTTGTGAGAGTTAAGATATTTCCTGGTACTTATTATCTCAATGAAAKTTTTTTTCCTGTATTTCAAGARTGAATGACAAGCAAATTAATCATCATCCAGACAACCATAAAAATATATTATCAGAAAAGTCCAAAGTGAAATATTGCAAATTACATATTGGATCATGAAATTATTGTCCAAATATTACATTCTAAAAATTAATTACTGTAAAGTTACTTTAAATGGATGTGGTACTATAAACAATGTTTCTTGACTGTGAAATTTGTTTTCACAGGGAGACCACGAAAATACAAGTCAAGCAAAAACAATGGATCAATCTCATCAGTAAGTTATGCTCRCTAAATTTATTCTAGTCTTATAAATGATTACTTTGTATGAACTTAGCCTCACCCTCACCCACCCATTTCATGTCTGTGGATTGGGACCAACCCAACCAGCCCCTGTGGAAACCAGGAAAATGGGACCACCCCTCTCATCATCCCTGGACATCCAGGAAATGAAATGATTATTCTTAGAATAACATAACAGTATAAATCAATTGCGCTAAGTCCTAGTCATAACATGTTTTGTCTTCTAAAATTACAATTACAATACAAGCTTCCTTTTCTAACAGGAAGCTAATAAATATGCTGTAAAATAACTCAAATCATATATTCAAATCTGTCCCTCCTACAAACTTTGATCACAGACATCAATGATGTGATCAAACTTAAAATAACGCAAAAAAGCATATATTATCAATGCTACTACCGCTATTTTTGTTCTAATTTTTTGTTTATCTTGACTTATCGATCGATAATTTTGAGCGAAGTGGAATGAAGCTTCGTTCTAAAGTAAGCTTACTTTAACTTAAGCTTAAGTCTTAACTTAAAGATTATTTTGCGGAATCGATCGATGTTTTTTTAACGACTGCTGATCTATAATCAAAGGAGTTTCTATCCCAACCTATCGAAAGTTATAATAWTGATTGAATATCTTACCTTTGCTGAAGTAGAAGTCACATTGGTCTTTTGTTTCGGTCTCCGCCGAGTACTTAAAGTTACGTCAGTTGAAAGTTCCTGAAGTTTGCGGAGCTGCGAGGTGTGCACTTCGCAAAAGATTCAATGAGAAATRCTACTGTGGAATGCAAAGTACAATATGTCCAATTCAAAGCACAAAGCAGTGTGAATTGAGATAGATTTGTGTGATTTTTGTGAAGTTTTTGAAGTTTACCTCTCTGGTTGAATGATTCCAGTTCTACTCGAACAGCCGCCAAAAGTTTGGGCACTAGACCCGAAATACGCAGGGGCCCTTAGAAGGCAGCCAATTAGGCGCTCTATATATCTGGCACTAACAATTTTACGTACCTGGGAAAAAAAATTCATTTTTGGGGGGCAAATAGGCTGCGAAATTTGTATATTCAATTTTCTGCATAAGAGGAAGACGAGAAAGGATATTGAAAAAGCAACGAACCCAAAACAAGATTTTCAAATGGATTGTGCATTTTTTTTAGTCTTCAAACTGAAGTTTAYCATGTTTCCYTGTTTTAGACCCCACCTTTTTGTTTCCCAAATTTCCACTAATAGTTTTAAATCAGAGATAGATGGGGATAAAACTCGTACTTAGTTTACCGGCACTCCTTTGAACAACAAGAATGAAGCCCCGAGCAASATTACTCAAATTTCGGGTTAGTCATTGTCGTTTACAGTAATGTAACTTTTCCGATACGAATTTTTTTACTAGATGCGCTAAAGAAATATAGCAAAGCTAGTACGATAGCTCCACAGCCCACCTGTCAGATTAAAGTCCGATTAGGATTTGCCACCAAGTCGTGAATTATTTTATTATTAACTAGCAATAAAGTGTTTAATATTTACTTTTCAGCTGTCAGGAAAGTACTTTTTAAAACTCATCTTCAGTTATCCCGTGAGGCTTGCAAACGAGGTCATATTCAGCTTCGGCGCGTGTGTAAGATGTTCAGGGCGATATGGCCCAGTAAATCGTTGCTAAACTCAATTAGTCCCATCACTAAGCTGATGGATTTTGAATGTGTGTCTAGATATGCGCCTTAAATGACTTAACAAATCCATCCTCGTTTTGATTCTTCAAGGTCCCGTATTTTACGTTCGAATAGCGCCATTTCACTGCATACTTTACTCAGTTTGGACTTGTTATCGCAAGCAGCTGGTAAACTCGATTTCTGCTGAAGTGAATTCCTTTGGTTTTGATTTAAAAATTCTGATGGTGTTGAATTACACGGCTCTGCCTTTCTTCACTGTCAAGGCGAGTTATGCGATATGGCAATTAAAAACCGCTCTTTCGTGATTGGTGAATGGCTAACTATCACATTGTGTAGTGTTTCTGAATCGAGTTACGTGAAATTTGAGAACGTTGAACAGTTCACACCAAAGCGTTCTGTCGGGAGTGGAATAATTGATTCAGCAAACCATCTTGATGCCTCTCATCCGCAAAAATTAAGCAAAAATAATTTTTCACAATGTGGAGAGCCCCGTACCCTCACCAGCGAGCCCTTCTMCCATATCCTACACGAGGAAAGGTAAGCTTGGGATTTTCTCGAGTGGTTCGGATTCAACGCGACAACGAAATCTTCATATGTTTGTTTGGATAGTGTCACCCTTCTATCTCCAAATCCAGATGCTACAAGTTCCAGAACTAGTGAATTTCGTGTTCTGSCCTTCATAACTAACTCCATTGCAATTACGTCTAGTTGATACTTGTGTAGAGTAAAGTTGTTGAGTCTAATGCAGTTGTTTATGTGGTAAACTCACAGCCACATGTGACCATCGGATACAGCAATTGCGATAGACGTTGACCTACCATGGGATGATGTTTAACATGTGCTGTGTGCGATGAAATCCATAGTCAAGGATACCTCACAACTTCCAGGTTTTAATTTAAGCATTTTTAAATCCTTAATCGTCATATTAGAAGCTTATTGAACACATTGTGCTGYTGAGGATTTTCTTTGAAGAGCCGCTATTTTAACTTGCGCGATCGAAGGCTCTGCGCTCGTTCCGTCTTCATCACATGGTCCACATGAATTATAGCAATCYAGTGATAGTTTTATCCAGTCAATCTTTTATTATTGTCAGTATCATCGAGAAACAATATCTGTGTTCGTATGAAGTTGAACGTTCCGATGTTAAAAAAAAAAATTCTTGATATTTTGCCATCTCTACCGTTACGAGAATTGCTAAAGCTGGCTTTGACTGAATATGTAGATATTTATTGAAACCTCATCGTTATCTGCCTAGTAAGCGTATTTAATTTATAATGCTTCAAAGTAATATTTCTTTGGATAAAAAGTGAAAGATTAAGTCGTCCAATGATGATTAGTAGTCCATTCTTACAAGTCCTAGCGGTAAACCCAACTTGCGTGGTCGCACGCCATGGAATTTTGACCATTTTGGCCGCCATGTTTAGATACCAAATGCGTCGAATCAATAAGCACTCAACGGCGATTCATAATACATTAAGAGATAGGCAATTACCCGAGAGAAAATAWAACGAATGTTTTTGTTGGATGTAAAATAAAACCTTGAARAATCAAAGACATAAAATTACAAAGTGTTTATATCTATCTACCTGACTAATTTACCACGCTTTCGTGAAAAATTGTTTATGAAGAAGCTGAAGTGTTTGTTTGTAAAAGAGACTTCCTTCTTATATCTAAATACAGGTGTAGATAAAACTTATCAGACTAGATTTAATTTGGGCCTTCGGTCTTGTATGGCTGTCTGATGTGCACAGGCAGCKCAAAGAAAAGCATATCTATCGTGATTTACATTGAAGATTTTATTATAACATTCGTGGACGGTTTCATACAGTGCCCGTTGGGCATTTGTAAACGTTAGCTTCCTGATTCTTTTTGCACTAAAATACACCGTAATTGCTTTTTAGTGCTTGAAAAATTGAGAAATGAAGCACTTGTCGTGATGATTATGCGCAAACCGCCTCTTTCTACGAATACCAGACTATTTTAATGGTCGGACTAATGGTCGGTCAAATACTCGGTCAATCAGTCTGTCAGGTTGATCAATCTCTTAATTAAATAGTTAACTAGTTTTGATTCATTATTGACGTAGTAAAACAGTGGAGTGTCTCAAAATGGAGTCTTTCACGTCTTTGTATACAGATTGACTGCATATCRCATTGAAGTTTACAGAAACACAGCATTTTCACCTCTAATCACTAGACCTAATACATACAGAACTTCCCTGCCTTTCACTGATGTTATCTCGAAGTAAAACTAGAAGAGATTGCCTTCAAAAAATGCGAAGCATCGTTTTATTTTTCCAATGTTTTGACGGCTGCTTCTCTACTCGGTGATTTTCCAAAGATACCGCCTTGTATCGAGCGAACTTATCTTTTTAGTACAGTGTAAACACAGCATGGAAGTGTCATTTTGTGACCTTTCTTTTCATATATACATAAAAGGTTGCGTGTCTTCAGAGATTGAATGTCCTATTTTTAACTTTTGAAGATGTTCAAAGATCAAATCCACAACTGTTGGGAAAAACAATTAACTTTTAGTGAAATTTCCACAGACAGCGAACCTTGTCGCCCTCGTAGTCGACTACTTTGATGTTCCGTTCATGAACGAGACTGCAACGAAAAATTTCCGTCAATTGCATGACTCGGCTGCTCAACCCGAAAATTGCCCGAACAATGTTCGTGTCGTAGGTTGACAGTCGAAAGGGAAACAATGTCTTTTTTCGGCGCTCGAGTTCACCAATTCAGTTTACTGTGTTTGGTTCGATATATAAAAAATTGATTGAACAAGCACTATTAAATGTATATTATAGTGATAAATCAAATAATTCACTATGTATGATGATATATTCATCAGGTCTGGTGAATGAATAGATTGATGTTGTTTGGGTGACAGCGAAACGTCGTTTATAATAATAAGTTTTCTCTAATATTTTTTCGTTAGTTGCTCGTTTTCCATTAGGAATGGCACCTGTGAATTAAGTAGAACTGAGTGTGTAATATTTTTCTTATCAAAGTAAGCTTTCATGTCAGTTTAGAGATGCGGTTTAATTGGATGATCGAAATTCCCATGATTCCCATGGCTCACTTGGTGTTCTGTATTTAGTATTACCACKCTCCGACACCGTCATTAATTGGTTAATCATGTTCTCGCAGGTATATTCTCCAGGAGCTGAAGACATGATGTCACATGCCGGAGAGAGTATACCTCAACCTCACTATTCTCCGAAAGGCGGACTATATGGCGATTCTTATTACATGGGTAAGTAAGAACACTATGAATTAAGTGGCCACATACTGATTTTTACACCAGTTAATTACCTTAACAATAAGCTAAAATACATTGATTGAAGAATTGCTATGCAATAATATGTTAATATCCTTTAAAAAGCGAAGTTGTTTTTTTTTATAAATACATACTTGTACGATAGTTTTAGAAATACAAGCGGTGGAAAATAATATTTTGTTTTGAGATAGTAAAGATACATGCTTGGAATGTGATATCTGCACAAGTTATGGACGTCTCATTACAACTCAGATTTTCTATCGCTATTTCATATCATAAACAATTCCATAGATTAGAATTTTCGTTGGATTTGAGGAGCATGTTTGTTTATGCAACTTTGCAGGTGCTAACGACATTAATATTTCTACATCCATAACTATAAATTTGGTATATTTGCTTCAAAAAATTAAAACCTGTTAAAAAATGTACAAATTTAGTTTTCTAGCACTACCATAGAAAGRATGAAAAGTCCAGCAATCCTTTACAGTTATTTATTATTATCATTATTATTATTACAGTTGTCTGACTCTTGAGATAAATGGCTTGACTAAGGGATGACTTCTGAACTATTATCAAACTGCCATTGTCGTGACTCCTAGACTTGCACTTTTCTGAACATCTGTATTCTTGAGACTGCGCTAAAAATAAACGACATCGGAGAATTTTTTAATAAAAACATTTGATATTGTGATAGAAATTGCAAAGCGTGCTCAACCCAGTGCTGTTATGAAGATTGTTTATGGATATTTTGGATTGCGTAACGTCGATTATAATAGACAAAGATAAGAATGTGACCACCCTTTAAAGCAGTTGCAGTCGAGTATCTGCTCTTGAAGACTSCAMAAAAGAAGAACTGAAATTAAAATAGCATGCATTAACTGCTTGGAAATTGGATCTTACGGTTACAAACGTAAGAAGTTGCAGTACTTTTTTTCTGAAAAATTATTCACATTAGCTCATGTCCTTTTGAAATTCCCTAACGACATTTTCGCCTTCTCTATCATGTCACTGTGGAATTCAGGCGACAAACCTGAAAGGGTCGTGATCCAGTTCAATCTATCTAAATTTAACGCAAAAAGAATTAAATTTAAGAGTCGTTTGCGRTCTTTACACCAAGAAAAAAATTTCTATTCTATTTGCGCACATTCTAGTGTCGATTCAGTCTTTTTTCTTTACATTCTGATGGAAATTTCAATTGATTAATGTTCCCGCCAAAACTACAACCATTAAGTGCGCTCGCGCGTCGCGCCTAAGTAGATGACTACAGAAACTCACAGACTACAAAATACTTCACGTAGAAACTAGGTGAACATCATTTTTGATTTCGAACATTTCTGTTTATTGAAGTATCATGATGAAGTTTAGTGTTTAGTTTCCGCGGAAAATTCTGGCGAGAGATTTTTACCAATCAGTTCACTGGCTCTTGGAAATTAAGTCGGTTCATCACTAATTATATTGTTCACTTGTTTATTGCAAGCATTTTTTCTCGGCTTTATAGCTAGCACGCGTCGTTCTGGAGATTTAAAAACACAGAATTCGAAACAGGAAGTGCTAGTATAAATCTCTAGGAGTCAATAATTGAACTTCCCGGGTGAGCTTTTCTCTTCCTAGAAACGAAAAGGAAGCTTTTCGCTGTATTTGAAACACAAGGAGAACTGTTTTGTGTCCAAGCATCAACGGGAAAGCAGTGTTTTTGCAGTTAATGTATAATAACAGATTATATGAATTAGTCTTGATTGAAGAGAGCTCATGTCAAGAAAAAGCTTTTCTTCATAAACAAACTTTTCACCATAAATAAGAGTTATWTAAACTGCACTTGAGTTCAATTAGCTCTAGAACAGAAATGAAAACACAATGGATCGATATGTATTTCTTTGGAATGGATCTCGAGGAACGCAGTGCGTTTCTATTAAAAAGACGGTTCATTCACCGTCGATTTTTGGTTGTTGTATTTTGATTGATTTTTTTTTTTTGCAAAAATACGTCTAGCGGTAGTTATTGTCATCTAGATTGCTTTTTGTTAGTCTGACAATATGACAGCTTAGAGGGGACTTACTGTAGTGACCTTGACTTTAGTCGCGACTGATGAATAGCAATAACWGTGATGATAAATAATTTATGGTATAAAGGTTATGAGGTTTAGTAGTGGTGTGTAAGATTTGCTACAGGCTTTTCGTGTTGGTATTGGCAGATATTTTTTTGGCTGTCGGTAATCTCTCATTAAACAAATTTCTTAATCGAACAACCAGTGAGGATGAATAATCTAGTTGATGAAGAAATGATCAATAGAAAGAATAGATCAATCAATCAATCATAAATTAATCAATCAATTTTTATTCATTTTCAGATCATGGTTCWCCAGATCCGTGGGGTCACTCGGGTCAACTGGGCTCTACTACATCTTACTCTACCTCAGCTGGAACTTACGCGACAAGCTACGGAATGACAACTCGGGAAGGAATGGTACTGTCACATAGAAATTCTCACTTTTTGTCCCATTTTGACTTTTCATTTGACATTTTCGTTGTTTTTGTTTTTGTTTTTGATTTGACTTTTTAGAAGGAAGTTCATGGCATGCCGCCTGCGTTAGCAAAGGCACCTCTTCACCACCATCAAAGGGTGCGACAATACACTCGTGTGAATGGATGTTTTTTTATCACGTTGGGTGCCATGATGATTATTATTTTATACTGGAATACAGCCATCTTTAAACTTGATATATAGATGGAGCAGCAAAGCTGGACACCCCGAAGAAGAAGTTCAAGGTATCTGAGTTCCTGTTTTTTACAGTACATAGCTATGCACTTTGAAATAACAGGAACTCGGTTAGCCGGAACTTCTGCTTTGGGGTAAATGTCCAGCTTTGACGTAGGGTCGGTTTGATGCTAAGCTCTGAAAAAAATTATGTATTTTTACACACTATTATTTTAGAAACACTGCATTTTTCCTTTGTAATAAGAATTTTAAAATTTGTTATTTCGCGGCTTAAATTAAAGTATTTAGTCAACTTATCCATGCTAAATAWATGCGTCAATTAGTGAACAAAAGCAATCGAAACTTTAGATTTTAAATTGTATATTTCCTCTTTTAAAAAATTAAAAATCATCATGGCGTCTATCGCGAAAACATATAARGTAACTTAGCAACGCACTTCGTCCTTTGTAGTTTTGAAATTCAAAGAAATGCGGACAATTTTTCGGTCTTCTCTGTTGTTGAGATTTACAACTGAATGAATTTGTGTTTTGTTGCTAAGTTTCGTCGAAAGAGAGTCAGACAAAAACACTCATTTAATACGTTCGCTCCTCTTCTTCGTACTTCCTGATATAACGACTACACTATGATCTCCTATGAATTAATGTCTCAGCGGTTGTCTTTGCTAATGACATGCGCTCCATAACATCTCGAGTAATGGTAACGCGGGTTAAGGTGTCTTTGACCTTCAGGTTGTCATGGTTACTTAATATACTTTATAATATTATTGATGATTTCGTCAGTTATCACTATAATGTTTCAATGATGTGTAATATTATTTATATAGTCTGTTTTAATGGTTATTCTTGTTTTTCTTGTACTTTATTCCTGATCTGATTTATTTGATCATATTTATCATCTTTGAGTCCTTTGATTAATTTATTAATGTATCTTATTTATATCTATTGAACTTTGATTTTCATCATCTAATGATCTTTTTATCCGTTGTTTGATCTATTTTATTAATTTGTTTATTATTTCAAACATTCATTCTATATCTATATTCGTCTTTTTWTTACTACGGACAAAGGTTAAAAGTGTGGAATTTGTGGCTAGTACTCAAATACTGCTTTTCCCACATGGAAGATGCCTTTTCTGAACTACAAAATCAACGTTGCATTGTGGTCTGACAACCATATTTAGCTTCATAAGTTATTTGAATCTAGACCAAAATTGAAACTAAGTCAAAACGTCAATGGAATTATTAAAATTGTAATCAATTTGTCTCATGTTGCACACTTTTACCCGCAAAAATGTTCTCTATAATTGATACTGATATGGAGCGATGTATTTCAACAGAGTTATCATCCCATAAGTCACAGCGAAGCGATGGACAGGTTATCAGGCTTGCCCCCTATGTCATCCTTCAGACAGACACCCAGTCTACATGGACAGTCGTCTCCTTATCTTCACTCAGTCTCTCCTCCACTCAACGGTAGCGATCCAATGGGTAGGCTTGKTATAAATCTGCTCGCGAAATTTACGTTTGAAAASAGTCGTAATTTGTAGGTTTTCCTCAGTGATTATGATAAAAGARCATTCTAGTTCTTACACTGCGAACAGAGCTATTTTGTCTCAACCGGCTTTCTCGGCGGGTGAGAAAAGTAGCTCTGTTCTCAGAGTACCTAGTTCTCGGAWAGAACTCAGTCTAGTTTTTCATATGCCTGTCGTAAAGCCATCGATAATGATCGTCCTTTAGTCGTTGCTAATCGTATGCTGCTCGTATAACACTCGTAACTATTTCGCTTATTGTTTTAACTTTGAACTCTTCAGGTCACGTGACAAGAGCAACGACGTCCGGAAGTCAAACAGGCGACACTCTAGGAAAAGCATTAGCATCTGTATGTAAAGAATAAATATATCATGATAATTAATTAATTTATTATTAATTAATCGTTACTTTAATAATTCATTYAGAATTAATAGAATTAATAGATATTGATAGTTACAGGAGTTAACCATTGAACTTCGCTTGTTTATTTTCAGATATACTCGAATGACAATGGAACTACGTACTCATCCAATCCCTCGACYCCAGTAGGATCACCACCTCCTTTGGCCAGCGTGTCGGAGAGACCGCCATCAAGTACGTACTACAGTAATTATAAATATTATCTTTTCTCTGTACTATTATGATTTATTGGATATTTACTGATTTCAKTGTCATCACTATCATAAAATCATCATAGCAGAAGAATGCATTGATTATCTAKGTGGAACACTTTGCTATAAATTATCATTATTATTCTCTATGTAGTTTTAATTTTCTGATAATTCCACTTCAGCTGGTTCYGGGACGTCAGGYCACTCATCAGGATGGGGCCGTGGAAACCAACCTACATCGCCACCCTATGAGAACCAGCTACATCCTTTGGTARGTTCAGATCCCTTTCTTATCTTGCCTTTATAATTTTGTATCAAACTTWAAGG